CTGACCCAAGAGAAGGCCTTGGGATCCAGGGTGTGATGAGAAGTTTCGTCCAGATATCAGACTTAAGGAGGAGGACAGGGGAGTGAGGTGAAAGATGGAGACGGGACACAAGGGAGGGAGGAAGCCCCTTCCCATGCCTGGTGGATACGATCTGCTCATACACGCACACGGGCACACACACCCCTTCCCATTCTGCAGAAAGGCATAGGCCAGGAAGTTACCAGCCAGGCAGAATGCCTGACTGTATTCTGGGACTTAAATGACAGCCACACCAATGAAATTTGTTGGGAACTTGGTGCCAAGGTAAACCCTGATTGTGCGTTACCGCATTTCATCCTCACAACTAATGTTTGGCTCCCTCCATGACTAATAAAACTTGCTCAGCTTTACAGATGAGGAAACTGAGGCTCAAAGAGCTGAAACCAGTTCCCTTGGGCTGATCAGTAAGTGGAGCAGCCACATCTCGAGCCTGGGCCTGTCCAACATCAGCGCTCTTGTGTGTAATCGCTCTACTGACTAGCCTCTTTGTCACTTGGTCTCCCTGAGCCTCAGCTCCTCATCTCACCTGGGAGAGTAACACTCACCCAGAAGGGCTGTGGAGAAGGAAAATACCAGGCGTGACAGAGCCGGGTCCATCCTTCTCCTCTGTGCCTCTGTTCTCTCCAGGTAGGCAAGTGTACGTGTACGGTGGGCAGGTATCGGGGCCTTGGCAGGTGGCTACAGGTAGAGCATATGCCCTTAAGGCCCTGGCATGTCTCAGGTCTCTGGCCCTGATGGGGTACTTTTCTGTCAGGGTATATACTCACCCAGATCAGCAGCCCTTCTCCACCTGCTGCTATACCTGGGTCCACTCCCATCAGGGCACCCTGGCTCAGCTCTGTGTGGCTCATCTCCCAGAAGTTCAGGTAGGGTTAAGGGGACAAGGCTGGGCCATGTTGTTCACCTTAATGAACACAGGAGTGAGGAGAACACGGGATAATGAACATGGGAGTGTGGAGGTACAAGGGTACAGGTACCCCATGTCCAGCAGCCCTAATTCTCATCCCTGCTGGATCACCCCTCTAACTCAGCCTCTGTCCCATGCATGAAAGCCAGCCCTGCCTTTAAGGAACACCCAGCCCCCCAGCCTGGAGGGCAGGAGAGAAGGCAGTGACCTTGCCCTGAAAACCCTGTAAGTAACCCACCAAGCAAGCCCTGGGCTGTGACCAAGTGGTGGCAGGGAGCAGGGGATGGAAAGGTGGGGGAGGGAGGGAAAACTTCTCAGATGAGGCGGTACTTGGGTGACATGAGATGATGTTTGCTAAGTGAGCGAATGAGGGAAAGACACTCCAAGCAGGGGGAACAGCTCAAGCAAAGTCCTAAAGGCATGAAAGTTCCCAACACGTTCAGAGAGAGGCCGTCACTCCCATGTGGCTACCGCATGACATGTGGGGGGGGGGTGTGGACGGGGAAGAAAAGCCTGGAACGCCAAGCCGAAGATCCCAGACTTTTGAAAACTATATGAATTAAATTGTCAGGGAGTTGGAAGAGAAGGTATCCCAGGAGGGGCAGAGCCTGAACAAAGGCAGGGGGTGGGAGTGACTATGCAGGTCCAGACAGGAGTATGCAGACCTGTGGGGGAGAAGATGATATACCGATCTCCAGAGTCTGGTGGACGCTCCCAAATTCAGAAAGATCACGCAGCACGTGAGGAGTTATTGCCCCTCTGCCTCAGATGTCCACCCTCCCTGCACAGGCCAGAGAGGAACAAAGGGACGAGCTGGATGCCGCCGAAACGAAGCCCAGTTCTCTAGCTCCACTCGTTCATGTTGGGATGAACTTGGCCAGAGGCCCTTGCAGGAGAGCAATGGGGGTGGGGGGTGGGGGGGACGGCGGCTTGTGGCCTATTTACTCCCCAAACAGGATTTCCTTCTGGATTTGATACATGGCAAAGGCACCACATCTGGAAGTAGGAAGCGGAACAGCCTCTAAAACCCAACTGCAGGCGTTTTGCCTTGGACCAGCCCCAGTAGGACAGGGTGCACAGTTGTGGCCGGGTCTTCCAGGGAAAGGAAGTTCACTCAGGATTAGTCACTCTCTTTCACGTAGTGTGTCCTAGGGGTTCTGCTCTGACCCCCACACCATCCCACCACCTCTGCCCTGGCTCAGGGATCCTCATTTATAACTATGATATGTACTTCCCTGTCTCCAATCCCAGCCCCAGTTTGTCACCCTTGCAAAAGTACTCATCTAACCCTCTCCCTTCCCTTTTAAGGGTTCTCACTGCCATGCCCCCCAATGGAGATCACGTTCCTCAACCTGGCATCTGATCATCATTGTTTGGCCTCTGACCTCCCTGAAGTCCCCTCCACCCCCACCCACTCCCCGGTATCTCTTCTGTACTCTGCCAGGTAGGAGCCTCAGTAACAACCAGGGAGTTTGTGCCTCATCAACACTTGGGTGCCTCTGGGCCTGACCTTCTATAGTCACGGTTCAAGGCACACGGCAATGAGTGGCTGAATGAAGTGTGTGCATCGTTGTTGGCATGGCTGACTCTGTATGCCTGCCACACGTACAGCTCTCTCCACCCTCAGCCCCACACCTCCACCTCTGGGTCAGGCTTGTGTCTCCCTCCATTACAGCTGCAGTCACATGGTTTGGTTGGGGTGATTTATGTGCACGTCTCCCTCTGGGCTCTGGGATCCTGCAGGGTAGAACCCATATCTGGGTTTTCTCTGTGTCTTGCTATAACCCAGAAAAGGGCTGGAGCCAGACGGTCCCACTGAACTACCCTACAGCAAAACTTACTAGATGCACTGAACTGCCCAGGACTGGGTGGGGGCGCTGACCTCTCAGAGCTGGGTACTAAACTCAGTGGACCCAAGTCTGAACTGTGCTCAGAATCCTCACCAGGCACCCACCATAAACTTGCTCACAGATAGCCAGTAAGTATCCAGTGGTCCAGACTCCTATAATGGTGCTGTCAGGTCAACACGGGATTGTGAACCACAGGGTTGGCGATTCAAAACCACCAGTCAGTTGCTCCTCAGAAACGCTATTCAGGGTCATTATGAATTGGAACCAACTTGACGGCACTTAACAACATCAACAATCCAGTTGGCCATCTTGATTATGACTCATAGTGACCCATGTGTGTCAGATTAAAGCTGTGCTTCATAGGACTTCCAGTGACTGATTTTCCAGCAGCACATTGTTAGACCTTTTTTTTTTGAGGTACTTCTGGGTAGACAAGACCCACCAGCCTTTTGTGTTAACCTTTACATCACATATAAAGTAAAAAAAAAAAAAATCTTTTTTTGGCGGAAGGGAGTGTGTGTAAAAAAGAAACCAGTGCCCATCTCAGAAGAAGGAGGCTGAGTATTCTGGCATGAACACTAACTCCTTCCTCCCCTGCAGATGAAGCCCAGGGACAAGGTGTAAGAGAGCAGGCCTGTGCTGTTCCCATTTCATCGTCAGCTGTTTGCTACTGGCCCCTTGTTCTGAGGGTGGGATTATCTAGTGGGGGTCAGGTGGGTCCTAATCTGGGTTAGGTGCTCACGGTAGGCACCCTAACTCTGAGCCTTGGGAAGGAAACTGGTGCCTCCTCTGGTCTTGGCTCACGTGCTGTCTGTGCTCTGTCCTAGCTGTGTCACTGGGGACAGGTCACATCAACACACAAAGCCTCCGTCGATTCGTCCAGGAAATGGGGACTTCACAAGTGTCTGCTGGCACACAGGCCACCCATGCCTGGCCTGTTAGTAACACAATCATTGATGGGGAGAGCAGGAAGGAACAGCTTGTCACACGTACAGGGATCAGAGTCGGCACCCCCAAACATCAGGCAGCAAGCGTTTGAGCCCAGGGAAGGGCAATGTGAGGAGTGGTTTTAAAGGGAGGGCAGTCCTTGCTGAGTGACACACAGGAACCAAGCTGGTGCTTACCTGGCTGACTCCAGAGGCTTTTACTGGAGGAAAGGAGCTCTGGTAGCGTAGTGGTTACAAATCAGGCTGTGAACCGCAAGGTCAGCAGTTCGAAACTACTAGCTGTTCTGCGGGAGAAAGATGAGGCGTTCTGCTCCTGTGAAGATTTACAGCCTCGGAAACCCTGTACAGGGTCGCTATGGGTCGGAACCGAGTCTACTGCACAGAACCACCACTGGGTGTGAGGTGGTAGCATGGCTTGAATGCTAGACTGGCTGGCAGGCTTTAAGTGGAGAGTGACAGGCCCCAGTTTCTGTGTGAGAGACTGCATGACTGTGTGGAGGAGCAAGAAGCTGAAGGACTCGTCCAGAGTGAGAAGTAGGAGCTGGGCAGAGGCTAGCTCCTACCTACCAGGGTAGGTCAGCCTGGGGCTGCAGGAGGAGGATCTGAGCAGGCGGAGCCCCCACACCTGTGCTTTCCATTGTGATCCATTTCTTACTCTCTGTACCACTCCACCCACTAAGCTGGGGCACCCCATGTTTGTGCTATGCTCCAAGTCACTCCATTGCTCAGCACAGAGCCTGGTGGGCATTGGACAGCTGAGCAACCACATGAAAACTCAGAGAAGGTGCTTTGGTTCACGAATGTGCTTTTTGTCTGACATCAATTAGCACTGATACTGCACCCTTGATGGACACGCCCTTTGACTGTCCCAGTCCCCTGCCCCATGTGATACTTAATGTTAGCCAGAGAAGTGGCCACAGAGCCAGAGTGTGGAACCCTCGAGACCAGGCGCACAGAAGTCAAGGGCATGGACCAAGCCTGACACAAGGTCACCAGCCTGTATGTCCCTGCAGAGGTGTCCTTATGTCACACCACATGTAGTGTGCAGGTGGCCCATGTCCGGGTCTGGGGTAACCTTTTTTTCCTGTAAACTATCAGAACTTCCCAGTTACAGAGTCTAGGTCCAGGGCAGTTCGAATTGGAGAACAGGGAAGCTTCGGGCAGGACCAGATGGGGCAAAGGGTGCTGGGAGCTGGATGAGCTGGGTGGTGGGCCCTACTTGGGCTGCTGAGCGCCCCTCACCAGCCTCTTCTGCAGTTTGAGGGCTGCAGCAAGGCCTTCTCGCGGCTGGAGAACCTCAAGATCCACCTGAGGAGCCACACGGGTGAGAAACCGTATCTGTGTCAGCACCCAGGCTGTCAGAAGGCCTTCAGCAACTCCAGCGACCGTGCCAAGCACCAACGCACCCACCTCGACACGGTAGGCCCAGGGAGCAGGGGCTGGGGGCTGGTGGGGGAGGTGCACCCACCGCTCACTTGTCTAATGCAGGCAGGAACCATTGTCCATGCAGAACTCCTCCCAGTAGGGCTATCAGACCTAAGTTACACCTATTGAGAGAGTCACTGGGACTAGATAAGTCATAGGACAAGGGGTGAGGGGGGCCTTGTAGGAAGTTTAGCGCCCCCTCCCCACCCCCTGTCCCCCGGCCTCTGTTTGCTAGCACCCTGCCCCCAGACATGACAGCCAAAAATGTCTCTGGATATTGCTAAATATCCCCTGGGGGGCAAACTCAGCTTGGTGGAGAACGAGTGCTGTGGGTCTCCTTGCATATCCCCATGGAGGGATTGAGCTCATTGTCCCATTAGTCATACCTGGGGCAACCACTTCCTGTTCTTCCCACCCACTTGCCCCGCTCTGGGAGACCTAGTCTCTCCAGAGATGTCTTTGTTCCTTGAGCACTAAGTGGGGCAGCACCTAAGTCTCCAGGACCATGGGACCTCCAGAAGCATGTGCCTCTCCACCTCCCCCACCTCCTGTTGGCAGCTTTCTCAGAGTAGGTACAGGTACTCCTTTTAGTGCATATAGGCGCCACCAGTTAGCAGAGTACTTCCTAACACCATCATCTCCTGTGATCTCAGACCAACTTTCCAGTCAGCACTTAGAAACCCATCTGACTGACAGCTGAGGGAAGCAGGGTTCAGGGAAGGACAGTGCTTGCTGCCCATCTCACAGCTGACCTCCACACTAAGCTCACAGTCCCACTGGTGGGTTTGGTCCTATGTGCAGGCCCACTCTTCCTACAGAAGTTTGGAAGTCTCTGAGGGTGAAAGGCTGGGCAGTCCAAGAGTCCATTCAGCCCAGTTTTGTCCAGTATGCAGATAAGGTAACAGGTCCAAGGGGGGTGGGGCCAACTTTGAGAGATTGAGTGGCTTACCCCATTACGGAGCTGGTATGCAGAACTGGTTCTGACTTCAGGTTCACTGCTCTTTGCTAAACAAGGCAGATATGTCAGCTCCCCAGGGAGGTAGGACTGAGCTGAGAAGGCAGGGTGGAGAGGGAAGAGCTCTGAGTCCAGCCAGAACCCAGCTCCCCTTCCTGCCCTGCTTCATTGTCACGCTCTGTACTGGGAACATGAAGTGAGGAGTTCATCTCACAACCCCCCCCCACCCCACCCTTCTCATGACCTTTTCATAAGCCCTGTCCTTGGGACCCCAGCCCAGACCCTGAGAGGAACCTGTGGTTGTGTCTCTTAGGTGTCCTTCATGACTTCCCCACGCCTCCTGGGCCTCTGACTTACCTAACCCTGTCCCTTCCTCCTCAGTGCATTTCCTGGACCCACCCCAACGCAGCAGGCCTCTAGCCCTTACTTGGTGTGGAACTAGGTTGGGTCAGGCTCAGATGAGTCTGCAGAGTCATCTTAGGCCTTCCGCTCCCTCGTAGGTCCCCCTGAAGCCTGGGGCATGCACAGCCAAGCCCAGCACCCCGCTGGAGCCCCACTCCCTCATAAACACCAGTGGACAGCTCCACGGTGCTAGGCTGCCTCCCTAGCACCACCATCTCTCAGAGGACTGGTAGATCAGGCCATTCAGGACGAAACCAGCTAAGTCCCCACATCATCTCTGATATCAGAGAGTATGGGATTTTCTCCATGGGCAGAAATGTTCAACTCAACAGATTATGGAGAGAACCAGGCCTGGTTCTAATCCTGACCCTCCCTGCTACCTTGTCGCTGGGTCTCAGTTTCCTCAGAGGGAGGAATAAGCCAGATGGAGAGACCCAGCCCGTGTGTGTGCAGCAGAGATGAGTCCCCATCTTCCCAACCTGATTATTCACTCACTGCTGACTGAGTCCAGACTACCATAGACCCCGTATGTGAACTTGAAGAAACCACTGTCCATTCTGGGCTTTAGTTTCCCTGTAGCAAAATGGGGGGAGGAGGGACTACAGTCGCCACTTCATTGGTTTACTCAGGGCTGCACATACGAGGTGTCCAAGCTATGTCATGTACACACTTACTGTGAGGCCTTGGGCAAGGTACTCAGCCTCAGTTTCCTCTTCTTAAAAGTGGGGAAGAGGTGAGACTCTAAGGGCTCATGGATGGAAGTGCTCAGCAAAGGCCTGTACAGAGGAACCTTGCGTCAGTGAGGACAGCTCTCTGTGAGCTGCGTGCCCATTCTCTCAGAACCATGATGGTCACTCTCATGATTAACGCTAATAAGGTGACTCTGGCTTGAGCGCCTGTGCAGTGACTCCAGCCCGGGGTTTGGCTGCTGGCTTGAGACAGGCACATGGTGTCCTGAAGGCTCACGGGCAGTTCCGCCTAAGGAATGTTCTGCACACATCAGGCCCTGGAAAAACAAACAAGGAGATGGGCTTTGCCTTCCTCCTTCCAGGGAGTGTGTCTGTATGCTGAGCTCTATTTGTTTGTGTTTTGATGAAAGCATGTGGATTTCTATCAGCTTCCCCCAGGGATAGGCCCTGGGGCCTGGGGCCTGGGGCCTGGCTCAGGGCAGGGCAGGGCAGGGCCCATGAGAGGGAGTCAGGACCCCTAAGATAGGGTCTGTGTGTGTGACTGTGTGTGTGTGTGTGTGTCTGTGTAACTGTGTCTGAGGTTCTGTATATGATCATATATTTGTGTATGAGAGAGTGTGTGTGTGGCTCTGTGTGTGAAACTATGTACGTATGAGACTATGTGTGCATGTGTGTGAGACTGTGTGTGACTGTGTATGACTGTGTATGTGACTACATGTGTGACTGTGTATGAAGCTCTGTGTGTGTGGTTGTGTGTGAGAGTCTGTGTTGACTAAGTGTGTGGTTGTGAATGTGTGAGGTTTTGTGTTGACTGTGTGTGTCGTTTGTGTGTGAGGGTCTGTGTTGACTGTGTGTGGTTGTGAGTGTGTGAGGGTCTGTGTTGACTGTGTGTGGTTGTGAGTGTGTGAGGGTCTGTGTTGACTGTGTGTGTGTGGTTGTGAGTGTGTGAAGCTGTGTTGACTTGTGTGTTTGGTTGTGAGGCTGTGAGGCTGTGTTGATTCTGTGGGGGCGCTGTGAGTATATGAGGCTCTGTTGACTCTGTGGGGTTGTGAGTGTGTGAGGTATTCTGTGTTGACTGTGGTTGTGAGTGTGTGAGGCTCTGTTGACTATATGTTATTATTTGTGAGTGAGGCTCTGTGTTGACTCTGTGTGTGTGGTTGTGAGTGTGTGAGGCTCTGTTGATTGGATGTGGTGGTTTATGAGTGAGGCTCTGTGTGTGTGGTTGTGAGTGTGTGAGGCTGCGTTAACTCTGTGTGTGCCTGTGTGTGTGAGACACTGTGTAACAGGGGCTCTGGGCAGGTCTGCACACACCTTCCACCCTCCTGTTCCATGGTGTCCTTTCAATGCAGGTACGCCTCTCACTGGTCTGTCTCTTTCTTTTTGCTCTCCTCCGTTTCTTTAACCTGGCAACTCTCCGCGGCAGCACTAAGGTATGGTCATCTTTCTGCTTCTCCTCCCCTCGAGGTCCCTGGGCCCTGAGCAGCTCTCCCTGGGTCTGAGGTTGGACTGGCCTCCCCTCAGTCCATCAGGGAAGAGTTGCCTTAAAGTTTGGGGGTAGTTCCACATGGGTGTATGTGATAGGGACACAGTAGACCCTGTCCTTAAAACCAAATGGTGGCGTTTCTTCCAAGCACCCCGCCCCCTGCCATTCTGGGAGGCCAGAGGATCCTAGAAACAGAAAACACTAGATGTGTCCCCAAAGGGAATGTTATATGAATTCCACGCCCCAGCAGCAGCTGATGTACCCAAGCAGGTCATTGCGGAAATCCTTGCAGACTAGATCAGGGTTCACTTGTAATTGAGAGGCCCTGAGCCCCAAGATGAATCAGACAGGTGTCTTTCCCACCTGGCAGAGAGGAGGGGCCCCTGAAAAACCCAGCAGGACAGGGTGGACAGCCGGAACAGCAGCCTGTGAGGTGGGGAGGAGAGGAGGGAACGTGGCTAGGTGGGAAAGGAAGGAGGGATGCCTGGTTGCGTGGGGAGAGGCACCGGGAACAGCATCTCACAGGCCTGTGAGCTCAAGGATGGGAAGGAGGGTGAGTGGTGGCCAGAGGAGCCAGAGGTGAATGGGCTTGGGGACCTGCTTCTAAAAGGTGACAACCCTGAGAACCTCATGAAGCAGAGAACTCCATGCACACATGGAGTCAACATGAGTTGAAAAACTGCCCAACACCTGACGACACTGACCAGTCAAGAGAAGCCCTGGTCCTGAGGGGCTAGACCTCTGAGACAGGCTGACAGTGTGAGGGGAGAAACCAGTGCCTGCCAGCAGGATAGGACTAGGCCAGGAATACTGGGGTGGGCATGGGCATGGAGTTAGAGTCCACTTTCCAGGTTCTAAGGAGCCTTAGTGGCACTGTAGGATAAACACGTGACTGCTAACTGAAAGGTCGGTGGTTCAAACCCACCAGCCACTCATGAGAAAGATGAGGCTTTCTGCTTCCGAAAGGATTTACGGACTCAGAATGTACTCAGTGGTAGTGGGTTCAGTTTGGGTTTCACGTTCTAGATGAGCAGGTGGGCCCCAAAAGAGGGACGTGCCCATACCTCACAGGCTGAATCTATGTTCTCTGAGATCTGGTTCCATGTTTGTCAGGCACAGAACCTGGGTTTTCTTGTGGCCCAGAGAGCAGGTCCACCTGCAAGGCGTGGTTTATCCCTCCCAGTCTAGGATCTTCCTGTACTTGCAGTTTGTCCCAGAGTTTGTACCCATCCCATCCGCTCTCCTTCTCCCCCTTCTCCTCCTTCACTGACTGCTGCTACAAAGAATGCTCTTTACTCAGAACCAGAGTCGGAGCAGGAAGAGCCCTCATAATTCAGATGGTCCATTTTGCAGAGGAGAAAGTGAGACTGGGGGTGGGGGAGGTCCCAGAGTGAGGGCAGAATGGAGACGCTGCCTCCTCACTTCACTCCCAGGCCTGTCACCGTCCCCATACCTGTGGGCAGGGTGACAGGGCTTGATCCGGCAGCCTACCCCGTTGACCTGTCTTCCCTCCACTGCTGGTCACGCAGCAGCACCTGGCAAGTGATGCCTTGGCCCTGAGAGGTGTTGGGCCACCACTCATCCTGTCCCTGCTGTTACAGAAGCCGTACGCCTGTCAGATCCCTGGCTGCTCCAAGCGCTACACAGACCCCAGCTCTCTCCGCAAGCACGTGAAAGCCCATTCAGCCAAGGAGCAGCAGGTGCGTAAGAAGGTAAGCCAGCTTCCAAGTTGGGCCCATCTCTGCAGAGCCCAGCATGGCTGCCCACGCCACCCTTCCAGGCAACAGGCCAGGTGCCCACACTGTCCAGGTGCGTTCACCACCCACACAGCCATGGGGGCACTGTCTGTCCATCTGCCCTTCACTCTTTGACTGTCCCCACGGCCCTTACTTCCTGACCCCCAGCAGCCGCACATCATCTATTCATCTACCTGCTTGTCATCCACTCATCCGTCTTATTTAGTAACATTGGAGGCAGGCTCTGTTTTGCAATGAGGGTGCAAAACATAGAAAAGCACACTCTTCAGTGGCCTAGTGGGTGAGATCCCAAGAGAGAACTCAACATCATCTGTATATAATAAAGACCACAGCAGAGGTATGCAAGAATCATCGGGGCAGGTAAGGGTCCGTGGAATAATTGACATGCTGGGGCCAATGGAGCACAGTGAACAAGAGCGTGCCTTCTGGAGCCAGGCTTCACGGTCACTTCTGTGGCCTATACTGTGTGTGCCTTAGCTGTCCACTGGGGACAATAAGAACTTGCCTTAAAGGCCGTGGTGAGGATCAAATGAGTAAACATGCACCAAAATGTTTAGAACAGTCTCTGGCACAAAGTCAAAGCTCAAAACAGAAGTGAGCATATGTTTTCATTAAGTGTCGAAGAAGGAGCAAGTATGGGGCATGTGCAGACAGGTAAGAAGCGTGGACCCCGGCGAGTGAACGGCAGGAGGCAGACAGTGAGCAGGCAGCCTGGTCAAAGAGATTGGACTTTGTACTGAGGACAGCGGGGTGCCACTCATGGGTTTGAAGCAGAGAAGGGACATGTGACCATGATCTTTAAAAAGATGGCAATGGGAGGCATGTGGAGAATAGGTTGGGGTGTTGACAAAAGATTCGAAGCTGGGAGGCCACTTTGAGGAGCAAGAGAAATGGTGCGGTCTGAGCTGCAGTGTGGGCTTAGTGGCCCCAGAGGAGCCTAGGATGGAGCCCCAATGTCAGGCTGTGGGGCAGGGTGGTTGGACAGAGACCCCAGGAATGAAGGAAGTATGCGGGAGAAAACTGTGGGCTCAGTTTTGGATGAGCAGTTTGTGAGTTGCAACAGGAGGGACAGGAGCAAAGTCTGCCTTTCTGGGTGTAATCCACATGTCCAGAGGGCCACGGGACAAGAGAGGGTCAGGGAGGGTGTGGGCAGCAGAGACGGACAGTGGTGGAAGAGCACCTGCTGTATTTCAAGCACTGTTCAAAGCCACAAATAAAACAGGCTGGGGAAAGCAGCCTGGCTTGGGACCCTGGGGATGGGGGTGTAGAGAGATGAAACACTGGGAGCAGGTGGACCCTTAGGAGAAAGACAGGGACAGGGACAGCCAGGGTGGGACTTGAGTCTTTGACTGGCAGTGGGGAGCCATTGGAAGCTGTATGTGATCCCAGTCTACACCATTACCACTAGGGTCAAAATCCTGCAGTCAGTCACCTGAGAAGGAGGTAGAGCCCTAACCAAATGCTCTGGTGGCTCAGGCACTGTGCTTGGTGCCTCACAAACTACATCACATTTCATCTTCACCATAACCCAAGAGAGGAGCTCTGGTGGTGCACTGGTTAAGCACTCAGCTACTAACTGAAAGGTAGCTGGTTTGAACCCACCCAGCCACTATGAGGGAGCAAAACCTGTTGATCTGCTTCTGTAAAGACTGTTGTTAAGTGTTGGTGAGTTAGTTCCAACCTGTCGTGACCGTATATTACAACTAAGAAAACCCTCAGGGTGGGTTCTACTCGGTCACATAGTGTTACTTCAGTGGCACACAACAATGTAGCCCTAGGAAGTGGAGACTATTTTTACTCCCATTTTAGAGATGTGGGGACTGAGGCTCAGAGAGCTAAGAAACCTGCTCAGAGTCATGCAGCCTGGAGGTAACAGAGCTGGATCCCATCCTGGACCTGTCTGTCTTCAGGTCCTGAGCTCTTTACTCTGCTCTCAGGCTGAGGGGCCTGAGTGGGGAGCAGGCAGTGGCCCAGGCTCAGGTTAGTGGGGCTCCATGCCAGGGAGGCTTCTGTCCCAGCGGACCGGTGCCCGAGGACCAGAATCCTGCCCTGGTTTTCCCAGGCCCCGTGCTTGGCTCACACTGAGCCCCAGAGACCTGCAAACTTCTCAACAATAAGCATACATTACAAGCCATCGGAGATGATATATCTTTCTGGGTAAAGCGACCCTTGTATTATGACAACTCCTTGGCAGCCGTGCTGCGTTTCAGAGAGAATTAGAAATGCTTTTCTTCCTTAATTCTCCTCTCCTGCTGCTCCTAATCCGATTGACATTGCGGTCTGAAAGAACATGCCTTGGCCCTCTTTTGCCAGAAACTTCATTTACATGGAAAACAGCTGCTGGGTCAGGGAGCTGAGAGCCCGGGAGAGGTTGGGCATGTCTTCCCTTAGCTAGGTCCTGGCCCTGCTGGCTTGGGAGAGTGGAAAAACCCTCAGGACAAACACTCCACTGCTGTGTGACATGGGACTAGGCTCTTGCCTTCTCTGGGTCGATTTTGTCCTGGGTAAAAGGAAGGCTTGGAAATTCAGTCTCATGGGCCTCTGACTCTTAGAGTCCATCCAGGTTTGGTTAGAGTCCAGGGTAGTAGAGGCCCTTCCCATCCAAGCTCTGTTCCCTCATCACTGGGTGTCCTGGGGACTCCACTGGGACCCTCGGCGTCCCCATTCTGGCCTTATGTGGAAAGATGAAGATTTCTTGAGATGACACAGAGTTCGAGCCTGGCTTTGAGGACAGCCTGGATGGTTCTGTCCAAAAGCTCTGCCCTCCCTTGGGTTGCCGGACCACATCCCTGCCCAGACCTTCTCAAGTCCACATACTGACCCTTCACATCCACCTGTTGTGTGACCATGTGGGGCTCAACTAGCTGGAGGTCAGTCAGCCATTCACAAAGCACATTCATTAAGCATGTCCATCCCCTTCATTCCTTCATTCCCCCCCACAGAAACCTGGGATGAGGACATGCTTACAACTTTCTGCAGACAGCTGAGGAGGGTTACATGATTTATTCAGTGTCCCATGGGGTAGGAAGAGATGGGGTGAGATTTGAGCCTGGATCTTCTGGCCCTAGTCCTAGACTGTGTCCACTGTATCATGGGCCAGGAAGGAAGAAAAGTTGGAGAGGAGGAACTGGAAGTTGCTTACCAAGTACCCACTATGTGCCAGGCTCTGTGCCAAGTGCTTTATTTCCACCACATTCCCTGTTCACTTGGTGGCAGCCCCAACAAGTCACCTTGCAGACCTGTAGCCACCAGCTGGCCCTTCTTTGCTGAGGCCCAACCTCCATGGGCTGTAGCTGAGCTCAGCAGGCCCAGTAGAGATACTGAGGCAGACCCCTTCCCAGCAGACATAGGACTCGTCTGACCTTGACCTAACCTTGACTCCCTCAAGCATCTCTGAAGACTTGGCCAACCCCTCCTCACACTGACTAGCAGTCTAGGAAGCTTCTCTCCCTCGCAGCCTGCCCAGCTATCTGTTTCCTGTTTTCTCTCCTATGGGTGCTTCTCCTCATAGAGTCTGTGCATGATTAATCCCATGTGATCATCTGCTTCCCAGTGGGCCCAGACTAACAAAACCTTCACAGTGTGCAGTGGGTTAGGTGCCATTAGCTTCATGTTACAGATAAGGAAACAGGCACAGTGAGGTGCTCTGTTCTCTAAAGCAAGGGTTGCTAACACTCCCCGTCTCTGCTTGCTCCTCCAGCTGCACATGGGCTCCGACCCTGAGGCCGACGTCTTGACCGAGTGCCTGGCTCTCCAGCAGATCCATGCATCCACACAGCTGGCTGCCAGCGATGGGAAGGGTGGCCGTGCCCTGAGCCAGGAGCTGCTCCCAGGTAGGCATGTGGGGAGGCACGGCCAGGTGCACAGCCCGAGAGGGCTCTTACACTGTAGGAAGACCACCACAGGATAACACTTGCTGAAGGACACCTACTCTGGATTTCATTCCTTCAGCCCACCCTCTCTGCAGCACACTCCTTAGGACTTTTGTGGGCTTTCCACTGCCCAAAGCCTGAAACCCAGGTTCCTGTCAGCCTGGCCTCCTGGTACACACTGAGCACAGTTCCCTCCCATGCCCGAGACACTGCACGTCTTGCTTTACCAGCGAGCCTCTCCTGCTTTTCCTTAGGGACCTATTTCCTTGCCCCCTCCTCCAGGATGCTTTTCTCTGACTTTCTTCGACCCCATCACCAAGAGCTCTGTCTCCCCAGCACTCCCACCCTTACTGACTACCTACTGACTTCTCCAGGGCAGGGCCAGCATCTGCCCCATTGAAGAATCACCAAACCCCAGCATTCAGTGAGATGAGATGCTGGGTGTAAGGTCCAGACTGCCTGAGAAGAAAGTGCCTTCAGGAAGAGCCCACTGTGGCCCTGACTTGGACTTAAAGTCTTGTCTAACCCTCACCATGACATTTAGCATCAGACGGCATATGACTTGGTCACAATCACTTCCAGCTTCTTACTCAGCTCTGTAGCCCAGACATGGGGTCCCTGCAGATCCTCTAGCCTGACACACAAAGCCTCTGGTCCAGTGGAGGCAGCCTGTGGGCCGCTCCCAGGCCACAGTAGGAATTCTGGCTGCATGACTTGGGACTCCAGCCCAGATAAGGGCAGCGTGGCCTTTAGATTCCAGATGATAATACTTGCACACTTACCCCTACCCCACCCTCAAGAAACCACAATATCAGAGCGTAAAGCTCTGCCCACCCTCCGGGATTTCTTGAATTACTCCAACCATTTTTAACATTTTTTCACTATTTTGTTTTTTCCCTTCAATATTGAAGCAGCAGCAGATACTAAAATACGTCAAAGCACTGACAAACAGCCGCAGGAAGAGAAGGCTTGGGCCCTTTCTCATGGGCTCCCCTTCGTGTAGGGGTCAGGCAGACCCACAGGGCAAGGACATCTCAGGAGGACTGTACCCTCCTCCTTCTGGCTAGAGGGGCCCCTCCATATGGGGTGACCTCACTGAGTCTCAGAATGTCTAAAACGGCAGGGCTAGAAGCGGGCACAGGGGTGGCATTGGAGACTACCCCTTGAGATCTGAAGCCCATGGTCTTCACTACTCTAGTCTGTTGCCTTCTTGCTGCTCATGAATTACACTGAGCACTGCGGTGCCCAGCCCAGTGCTGGGCCTCGTCACCCAGGAATGATGAACGTGTGTGTCTTAAGTGTCAGCTCCCAGCGTCTAGTAATGGCTGCCTGGGGCTCTGTGTTGAGAAAGATTCTGCAGCTGCCTTCTGACTGCAAGAAAGAGAGCTCTAGTAGATTAGCAATGGCTGTCCCCGTCCTGAGAGCACCTACTTGGGCCACTTTACCAACATCTCATCGAATCCACACCATCCAGTGTGGTATGGGGGCTTAAGCCCACGCTACCAATGAAAAACAAAGTCCCGTTGAGGAAACATTCTGGGGGCCACACTGGCCGAAACCAACTGCTCTCTCTGTGGCAGTGAGTGCTTGGTGTCTCCCTGCTCCAAGCTAGTTTCCCTCCAAGACCTGCTGTGAGAACAAATGCAGCTGTGGATGTGGTCACATTTTGTGGCACGTAATTTTTTCATTATTGTTGTAGCTCATCCCTCTTAGAATCATGCAATTGACTCTGTGCCAGAAGCTGTGTGTAGGGACTATACATGCATAATCCTCACATCAACCCTCTAAAGTATGTGCTGTATGCTCTTCTTTGTACAGATGAGGAAACTGAGGCAATGAGAGATTAAGTAACTTTCGCCTGAGATTGCTACAGAATGTGGCAGAGGCAGGCTGTGAAGCCGTGCTCTTGACCACTCTGGTCTGCTGCCTCTGTGCTGCTCATACATTGTCTGCACTGCAGTTAGCACCTCCTGAGCCTTCCAGCTGCTGCCAGAGGGAAGGACCAGCCAGGCAAACCCAGGGGTCCCAGATCCCCCCAGCATCAGGCCAGCCTCAACACACATGCCGGCAGCACAGTTGAGAACAGATGGTAGGGGCAGAGGTTAAGCAATCATGGCTGATGATTGATGACGCTGATTTATAGCCTAATGTGGTTTGTTGTGGGGGGAGGCCTGTGACGTCCCCTTCACAGGTACGCTGCTTCCTTCATTCTCATTCACATGTTGCTCACTCAGGCACCTACCACGTGTTCTCAGGAGGCTGTTGCAGAACAAGACAAGGCAGGGGCGAGGGAAAGCAGGGAACAGATTCAAAGAGTGTTGGGATGGAAGGTTCTAGAACAGAGGGGTGGGAGTGGCATGGCATTTCCCTTGTCTGGTGATAGGAAGCTCCTGTGGGCTTGTCTCCTAGGGAAGGACCAGCTCTTTCCCTCATAGGTTACCTCAGGAGCATCTCTGCAGACCAGGGGACGTGATGAGCAGCGAGGACGTGAGAAGCATGAGGTCAGCGTGGCTGAGGGACAGGAGGGGGATTTATCAGGATTCCAGGCCTTCCCAGCTGTCAGGTTTCCAAATTGGTTCAAGATGGCAGGCAAGGAGGTGCTAGGGAAGTGGTGAGCAGTGCAGTCCCGGAGCAACATCGCTACCCCCACCCGCCGTCTTCCTGCCATGGAAGGGATGTGCTGGCCGTGGACAGGCAGGGATGGGTGGACAGGGGCAGAGGTTCCAGAGGCCAGCGGGGTCAGGGCTGGGACCAAAGATAGGCCACATTAGATTCTGCTGTGTAACTTTGAGCAGGTCATTTAACTTCATGAGCCTGAGTTTTTTTCATCATGAAATGGGGCTATATTATCTCCTAGTATCCCCTCGTTGTTGAGATGACTGAACTAGATAAATGAGGTGAAATATTTAGGCACATACTATATTCTTGATGATCGGTAACGGCTGACACGTTTGTTGTAAGAGTAGAAAGTCTTGTGATCTGAATCTGGGTTTATCTCACCAATTATAACCAACTAGAGGGTGTCTGCAGCTATTAACTCTAGGCTGAACCCCAAAACTAAACCCACAGCTACTGTCGGTTCTTTCTTATGGTGAACTGCCCCATAGAGTTTCCAAGACTGCAAATCTTGACTGCCACATCTTTCTCTTGAGAAATGTTGAGTTAAGTTAGAACCGCCAAACTTTTGATTAGCAGTCGAGCACTTTAACCACTGTGCCACCAGGGCCCTTAACTCTATAGAGGCCAGGTGATGCAAATTGTTTGGTCTCATAGGCACAGTGTTTGTGTGTGTGTGTGTGTGTGTGTGTGTGTGTTTTTAATAGTTTCTGAAGGGCTCTAAGGGCATGTTCTTGCCGCTTTGCTACAGTTCGCACTGCTCCCTATTGTGAACCCCTACATGGTCACTCAGTGTTGCTCCTTGCCAAAGCTCTTCTACTCACTTCCTTGTAGCAACTCCCTGCATTGCAGGCCTGGATCTGAGGGACCAGTCTGAGACAGGCTAACCTCAGAACCCCAATCACCTGAAAAGGTGAAGTTCCTCCCTCACCACCACCACCACCACCCGCCTCCCCATCCATACACGAAGCCAGGTATGTTCTCAGAATGGTCCTCACCAGGCGACATAGACCACTGGGTATAGATTTAAGGTAATCAGAGTGGTACTGAAAATGCAGCAACTGGTCTAGGACAGCTACCAGTCAACCCAAGTAACCACTGCATAAGTGTGACCCTGGGCACAACCCCTGGCTCCACAGAGCCCTCCCAGGGCATCAGCTTGATGCATTGATTTAGGGGAAAATCAGGCCAATTTTGTTCACCATAAGCATGGCCAGGTTAAAGAAAAAATGCATAATTGGCCCCATTGTTTTCTGATAAAATAGAAAACTTTAAACCCAGTTCTGTTCTTCTCAAGCACCAATCCTAGGAAAGGGGTGTGTTCTCCACTCTGATTGGGGCTCCTTATTGAAGGTGTTTGGGGAACACTAACTTTAGTAACTCCCACACCCTCAAATGAGTCCCCTAGAACAATATCTGACCCTGAACTCTTGTTGCCCACTGATCCTAGCAGCTTCTCAACAAGCATAAGGTCCTTGGGGCTTTTCTGATAAAAAGTGATTTTACCCTGTGGTGTCTTCTGTAGATTTAGAATCTGAGGCTAGAATACAGCTGATTCCAACCCCAAACTGGAACCCTTGTGCAGTATACAGCCTGTATACTATCATACATGGTAGCCTTAGAGGTCCCCCTGCCAGCCTGTCACCCAACTAGGAGACCCCCATTGTAGACACCTAGCCTCCACTCACACACTACTAGGGGCAGGTGGTCCATTCTCTGCAAAGCCAGTTCATTACCCTGCAGCACCCTTCCTATTGGGCAGGACCGCAGAGCAGGACCGTCCAGCTCTGCGCTGGGATCTGCTTCTCTGAGGCTTCTCCCTGCTCCTGGGTGAACGCTGCATCACTTTATCACCAGTAAAGCCATTTGCTTTTTTTCTCTTCAGAACAGCCCTACACAGGTTTGCAGCAGCTTTCTCCATACAGACCACCGCCCCCTCCCTCGGGGCCAGCCCTGCTCACAGCTTTGCAGCAGGGCTTAAACAGAGCAAACTGGGGCCCTCCCTTGTGTGGGCCCTGCACATTTATCAATACAACCTCGCTTGTTTTCCTTCACACAACTCCTGGGCCCTCACGGCCACCTCTAGGGAGTGGTCAGAGTCCAGTGATGTTTGTTTACTTCTCTGCAGGTGTGTATCCTGGCTCCATCACCCCCCATAATGGATTGGCTTCGGGAATCCTGCCCCCCACACACGATGTCCCTTCCAGGCATCAGCCCCTGGACGCCACCTCCAGTTCCCACCACCATCTGTCCCCTCTGCCCATGGCCGAGAGCACCAGGGATGGGTATGTACACGGGGCCTGGCCTCCTGGGACAGTAGGTGGACACATGGATTGGCACAGACCAGGGCAGGCATCTTGAACACCCTCTGGTTGTTACTGATCATGAGAATGTCCACTATTGGGGAGCACTTGACCTGTACGATGTCACCGGTGGATAGTATTGGCGCTCTGGCTTAATGCCTGGCGTCAGACACTCTCTCCTCCCCACTGGGGGACACCTCATCCCTTTACCCCCACTCCCTGGAGCCTGAGCTGCCACACACCCAGGCTTCTCTCTGGCTCATCTGCCTGACAGGCCAGAACTTCACCCCCATTTCTGGCCCAGCCTGCTGAGGCTGCCCAGGGAGGTCACTGATGGGGGAGGGACAACCTCTTTTTGTGTCCAATGTGGTTCTCTTTGTGACCACTTCACTGGCTGAAAATGATGGGTGTATTCATTGCTGACCCCCAAAGCTACTGAAGTCATTTTTCCTTGCTAATGGGCAGAGGGAGGCAAGCCGCACTTCCTGCCACTTGTTTATCACCAACAGGGACTTGATCACGCTTGTCCCCCAGGCCTGGCCCTAGCCTTCCTCTCTTTCCTCACCTTCCTCCCCAAGGCCTTGGCCTGCCTGCTCTGATTCATGCCCAGTGGGCTCCTTCTGCCTTCCATTCATTTTCATCTTTCATTCAATGTCTGTATTCTTAGCTCTTGAGCCAGGCAAGCCCTGAGCCCAGTGTTGATTTCTACTCTGGAGAAGCTGTGTGTGAGGAGCAGACAGACACAGCTACAGAGATTACCCACAAGGGTGGGTGTCCTAAGAGGAGGAAGCAGAGGAAGTCAGGGAGGGCTTTCTGGAGAAGGTGATGCCAAGCCAAGCAGGTGCTGGCTGAGTACAGGGGTTGGCAAAGGGCAGGTGTGGTGAGAGCCATTTGCGTTTGGAAAAAACATGAATCTTCTTGTGGGGTAATGAGCTGGGGAAAGAGGTCAATGGGGCTGGATCACAAGGGCTGTGGTGGGACTGGAGCCCTGTCTTAAAGAGTGTGGAGCAGCGATGTGTCAGGTCTGGGGGTAAGGGCTACGTTACTAAGGGGCAAGATGGAATGTGGGGTGCAGACCTGGGAGAGAGGAGACACTTGTGAAGTAAAGCAGGGTCAACAGTCCCACCCAGGTCAAGAGTCCCTGGGTGGCACTGATTAAGCATTCAACTACTAAACTAAGAGGTTGGTGATTTTAAACCACCCAGAGGTACCTTGGAAGGCAGGCCTAGCCATCTCCTTCTGAAAGGTCACAGCCATGGAAACCCTATGGAGTAGTTCAAATGAGTCACCATCCACTCAGTGGCGCTATCCAGGATGACAGTGGTGAAGCCCTGGCTCTGAGGGGAGAGGAGGGGCATTAGTGCCAGGGGCACAGTTCACATAACTAGGGGAGGCTGTGACTGAAGTGTGGGTGGAGATCCCTCCCTGATGGGCTGAATAGAGGGAAAAAGAAAGCCAGACCCTCCCCAAGCCTCAGTTTCCACCTCTGTAAAATGGGCAAATACTTATACCTGACATTGTGTGTATCACCAGTACAGGTTCTATCGACATTAACCCCTGCCCCACCCACCCCAAAAGACCCACCAGCCAGCCCTGAAACACCTCGCAACCACAGAGAAATAAACCACTCCAATCTTTCCCCACTCGGGCCTGTGCACTCTGCTGGCCTCGTTCATCACCTGCCTGCCACCCACATAAGTGCCCAACATGATTCTTCAGAGAGAGACAGAGTGATGACATGACCAATGGGACCCCTGCCCAGCACCACCCCTGCCATAGGAGGAGGAGCACAAACACAGGTCACTCCTACCCGGTAGGCTGTGGGAGAGAAGGTCCTCACGTTCGCTAGACACCAGCCCTGGGTCAGCTTAAATAGGTTTCTTTTTTCACCCCCTGAGAACTGGGGTGGGAAGGTAGAGGGAGACTTGAGCCTTTCCCTTCCAGCCAATGTCAACAGGGAACAGCCCTCATGGCCCCCAGTGGTTTGCTGGGACATTTAAACAGTTTGACAGAATTATCTGATTCACTCAAAAATATTCTAAGAGGGCCTGACTTCATGACAAAATTTATTTACCCTGGCTTGGAGAAGACATGGAATGGGGTGGTTTGTTCCCCAGGCCCTTGCATGGTATGAAGCCCTCTGCCTGGCAGGCCGGTGAGGTTTTATATTCATTTTTATAGGTTTCAATTGAAGTAAAAACTACTAGATTTAAGAATCATCAGCATGACTCAAGAGGGGCTCCAGATGATTTTTGCCCCCCTCTTCTTTCTCCCTTTTAGAGCGTTCAGGTAGAGCGGCCTCATTTCAGCCTTAGTGTCTGCTGAGGATAGAGCTGAAGTCTGTTTAATTTCACTGGCTGTGAAGGTGGCAAATGTGAATATCTGGCAGATTTGAGACAGAAAAACAAACTCTGAAGATGCATGGGTTTTTCCCCGTCAGCTCTGATCTCCCTAGTGCTACCATGCTGTTCATCTCTGGGTTTTGTAGCTCAGTGGTTCAAAAACCCACTTTTTCTTCTATATCAGCCAGTTGCCATGTGCCAGCCACTGGGTGACCTTCTCAGCATCTCTCAGGTGGAGGCTGGATGGAAAGCAGTCCAGGGACAGTGGGCTGTGAGGGACAAGGCAGGCAGCAGGCCCAGGACTCTGAGGACGCATGGCCTGTGCACTGCCCTCCACAGTTTACACAGCACTGTTGTAGGCAGTGTGTTGTTGTTGTTGTTGTTAGGTGCCATCAAGTCGGAACTGACCCATAGCGACCTTATGCATAGTAGAACAAAGCACTGCCCAATCCTGGGTCATCCTCACTACTGTTGCTACGCTTGAGCCCATCAATGCTGCCACTTGGCCAATCCATCTCGTTGGGGGTCTTCCTCTTTTTCTCTGATCATCCACTTTACCAAACATGATATCCTTCTCCAATGACTGGTCCCTTCTGACAATATGTCCGAAGTATAAGAGACGAAGTTTGGCCATCTTGCTGTCCAAGGAGCACTCTGGCTGCACTTCTTCCAACACGGATCTGTTGGTTCTTTTGGCAGCCCACGGCACATTCAATATTTTCCTCGAACACCATAACTCAAACGCATCAATTCTTCTATGGTCTTCCTTATTTACTGTCCAGCTTTCACATGCATATGAGGTTATTGAAAATACCATGGCTTGGGTCAGGTGCACCTTAGTCCTCAAGCTGACATCTTTGCTCTTCAACACTTCAAAAATGTCTTGTGCAGAGATTTACCTAATGCAATACATCACTTGATCTCTTGACTGTTGCTTCCTTGAGTGTTGATAGTTGATCCAAGAAGAATGAAGTCCTTGACAACTTGAGTCTTTTCTCCATTGATAAGAATGTTGTTTATTGGTCCAGTGGTGAGGATTTTTGTTTTCTTTAGAATGTAATCCATACCAAAGGCTATGCTCTTTGATCTTCATCAGTAAATGTTTTAAGTCCTCTTCACTTTCAGCAAGCAAGGTTGTATCATCTGCATATCGCAGGTTGTTAATGAGTCTTCCTCCAATCCTGATACCACGTTTTTCTTCATAGAACCCAGTTTCTCAGATGATTTGCTCAGCATACAGGTTGAATAAGTATAGTGAAAGAATACAAACTTGTCGCACACCTTTTTTAATTTTAAACCATTCAGTGTTCCCATGTTCTGTTTGCACAAGTGCTTCTTGGTCCAGGTACAGATTCCTCATGAGCACAATTAAGTATTCCAGAATACTCTTACTTTACAATGTTGTCCATAGCTTGTCATGATCCACACAATCGGAAGCCTTTGCGTAGTCAATAAAGCATAGGTAAACATCTTTCTGATATTCTCTGCTTTCAGCCAAGATCCATCAGACATCAGCAATGATATCCCTCCTTCAACGGCCTCTTCTGAATCCGACTTGAATCTCTGGAAGTTCTCTGTCAATGTATGATTGTAGCTGTTTCTGTATTACCTTAAGCAAAACTTCGCTCACTTGAGGTATCAAAGAGATTGTCTGATGATTTCTGCATTCTGTTGGGTCACCTCTCTTTGGAATGGGCACAAATATGGATCTCTTCCAATCAGTCGGCCAGATAGTTGTCTTCCAAATTTCTTGGCATAGATGAGTGAGTGCCTCCTGTGCCACCTCACTTTCTTGAAAGATTTCAATGTTTATTCCATCAATTCCTGGTGCCTTGTTCTTTGCCAATTCCTTCAATGTACCGTGTACTTCCTCCTTCAGTATCATTGGCTCTTGATCATATGCTACCTCTTGAAGCAAGCCCGACAGTGGGTGCCTATGTATGGAGGATCCAGCATGGAGGTCACCCTCTGCTACTCTCAGTCAGCTCATGGTGACCGGGGGGGGGGGGAGGAAGATTTCCAGACACATGGATGGTGGCCACACAGTGTCGGGTGGGAACAGAAGGATGTCCAGGCTGGAAGGAATAGAGGGGATTCTGGAGAGCTACGGCATGGAGCTCACCATCCTCTCCCCAGCTCATCCTTTTCTGGACCACATAGCTAGGATCCCCTCAGCAAGAGGCGATTTCCAGTTAATGCTTTATGTCTGGAGGGGATGGGTGAGGGTAACATGCCCAATGTGGCATGATCCTCTGCAGCTATGACACTGGATTTATGATACCGATTGCAACAAATTCAAGCAAGAAAATGTATGACAATGTGTTCTCTCTCCCTCTCTCACTCACTCACTCAGTCTTCAATGCACTTAGCCTAACCCCAAGAGCCTTCAAGCCTAACTGACTTCAGAGTCATTTTGGTCAGTAAACAGGACTCAAAGATTTAGGAAGGCAGCATGAGGCCCTGGGGAAAGAGTCAGCTTGCAGTCTTGACCTACAGTTAATTTAGGCTCGGCCTGGCTGAGGGTGACTACACAGCTCTTGTTTCAGAGCATGAACTTCTGGAGATGCCAAGATGAGTGTTACATCCCTTTAAGCTCTGTATGAAAGAAGATGATGAGCTCCCAATCACAGGAGATATGCAAGTGGAAGAGAGATAACCATGGATAGGGCCAGAGATGATTACTAAAATTACACTGTGCAGAGAAAAGAAGCCTGACTTGTTCACATTGATGAACCTGCTTTTCTTCCGCTCATCCTGATGATGATGATGATGATGATGATGATGATGATGATGATTCATAGAGTGGCTATGAATATACTAGATATATACCAGCTTTGTTTACATTGATTTATTTACTTCACGATAGCCCATACTACCACACATCTGTCAGTTTTTCACACTGTAGTGGTGTGCATGTTTCTATGATTCTGGAAGCTAGGCTACCAATATTTTAAATACCAGCAGGGTCACACGTGGTGGAAAGGTTTCAACTGAGCTTCTGAACTGAGACAGACTAGGAAGAAGGAGAGACAATTTCCAAATGTTTAATCACTGAAAACTTTATGAATAGCAGTGGAACACTGTCAGCACCAGAACACTGAATATTGAAACATGATGGAGAGCACAAGAATATCGTCAGATACAGTAGCAGATGAGCCCCTCAGGTTTGAAGGCACTCACAATACAAATGGGGAAAAACTGCCTCCTCGAAGTAGAGTTGACCATGATGACATGAATGGAGTAAGGCTTTCAGGATTTGCTGATAGGGCACTACTCAAAATGAGGAAAACCAGCTGTAAACATCATTAATAATCAGAACATGGAATGCCCTAAGTATGAATCTAGGAAAATTGGAAGTGAGGCTGGCCCAGGATTGGACATTGTTTTATTCTGCTGTGCATAGGGTCGCTATGAGTCGGTACCGACTTGATGGCACCTAACAACAACAACAACAAGTATGAATCTAGGAAAATTGGAAGTTGTCAAAAATGATATAGAACACATAAACATCAATATCCTATGCATTAGTGAGCTTAAATGAACTGGCATTGGCCATTTTGAATCTGACAATCACTTGGTTTGTTTTGTTTGTTAAGTGCCATCGAGTTGGTTCCGACCCATAGCGACCTTGTAAGAAGTTTCCAAGGAGTGACTGGTGAGCTTGAACCACCAACTACTATGTCAGAAATGACAAATTGAAGAGAAATGGTGTTGCATTCATCATCAAAAAGAACATATCAAGATCTGTCTTGAAGAACAATGCACACAGTCTGTGACAGGATAATATCCATAAGCCTACAGGGAAAACCAGTTAATAGCACTGTTATTCAAATTTATGCACCAACTACTAAAGCCAGTGATGATGAAATTGAAGAATTCTACCAACTTATTCAGTCTGAAATTGATCAAACATGCAATCGAAGCGTATTGATATTACTGGAGATTGGAATGTAAAGGTTGGAAACAAAGGAGAAGGATCAGTTGTTGGAAAATAAGACTTTGCAGATAGAATCGATGCTGGAGATCACGTGACAGAATTTTGCAAGACCGATGACTTCTTCATTGCAAATACCTTTTTTAAACATAAAAGACAGCTATACACATGGAACTCACTAGATGGAATACACAGAAATCAAATTGATTACATCTGTGGGAAGATAATATGGAAAAGCTCCATCTCATCAGCCAAAACAAGGCCAGAGGCAAACTATAACAGACCATCAATTGCTCATATGCAAGTTCCGAGTGAAGCTGAAGAAAATTAAAACAAGTCCACAAGAGCCAAAATACGACTTTGAGCATGTCCCACCTGAATTTAGAGATCATCTCAAGAACAGATTTGATGAGTTAGATAACAATAACTGAAGACCAGAAGAGTTGTGGGATGGCATTAAGAACATCATACAGGAAGAAACCAAAAGATCATTAAGAAGAAAAAAAAATAAGGCAAAGACCAAAATGGATGTCAGAAGAGACTCTGTAACTTGGTCTTCAACATAGAACTGCTAAAACAAATGGAAGTAATGAGGAAGTAAAAGAACTGAACAGAATATTTCAAAGGGCAGCTCAAAAAGACAAAGTCAAGTATTATGAAATATGCAAAGACCTTGAGTTAGAAAATCAAAAGGGAAGAGCGTTTCTCAAGCTTAAAGAACTAAAGAAAAAAAAAAAAACTCAGACCTGGAGTCACAATATTGAAAGATTCTCTGGACAAAACAGTGAATAATGCAGAAAGCATCAAAAGAAGATGGAAGGAACATACAGCATCATTGTACTAAAAAGAAATGGTCAATGTACAACCACTTCTTCAAGAGGTAGCATATGATCAAGAGCCAATGATACTGAAGGAAGAAGTCCAATGTACAATGAAGACACTGGCGAAGAATAAGGCTCAGAGAATTGATGGAATACAAATGGAAATCTTTCAACACACTGATGCGGAACTTGAGCCACTCACTCATCTAGGCCAAGAAATTAGGAAGACAGCTAGCTACCTGGCCAACTGATTGGAAGAGATTCATATTTTTACCTATACCAAAGAGAGGTGACCCAATGGAATGCAGAAATCATAGGACAATGTCATTATTATTAGATGCAAGTAAAATTTTTCTAAAGACAGAGAACTTTCAGATGTTTAAGGTGAATTCAGACAAGGATGTGGAATGGGGGATACCATTGCTCATGTCAGATGGATCTTGGCTGAAAGCAGAGAATACCAGAAAGATGTTTACCTGTGTTTTATTGACTGAGGAAAGGTTTTTGATTGTGTGGATCATGACAAGCTATGGACAACATTGCGAAGTATGAATATTCTGGAACACTTAATTGTGTTCATGAGGAGTCTTTACATAGACCGAGAGGCAGTTGTTCCAACAGAACAAGGGGACACTGACTGGTTTAATATTAGAAAAGGAGTTTGTCAAGACTGTACTCTTTCACTGTTCTTATTCATCTGTATGCTGAGCACATAATTTGAGAAGCTGGATTATATGAAGAAGAATGTGGCATCAGGATTGGAGGAAGAATTATTAACAACCTGCAATATGTAGATAATACAACCTTGCTTGCTGAAAGCAAAAAGGACTTAAAATACTTACTGATAAAGATCAAAGACCACAGCCTACAGCATGGGTTGCGCCTCAAAGTAAGAAAAAAACAAAAATCCTCACTATACTGAACCAATAAATAGCATCCAGACAAATGTAGAAAAGATTGAAGTTGTCAAAGATTTTTGCTTTGATCACTTTGCTCCAATCAACCAAACAGCAGTCAAGAAATCAAACACTATATTGCATTAGGCAAATCTGCTACACAAGATCTCTTTAAAGTGTTCCAAGAACAAAGATGTCAGTTTGAGGACTAAGGTACGCCTGATCCGGGCCACGGTATTTTCAGTAACATCATATGTATATGGAAGTTAGACAATGAATAAAGAAGACTGTAAAAGAATAGATGCAATTGAGTTGCGGTATGGAGGAGAATATTGAAAGTTCCATGGCTGCCAAAAGAACAAACAAATCTGTGTCAGAGGAACTACAGCCAGAGTGTTCCTTGGAAGCCAGAATGGCCAGACTTCATCTCTCATACTTTAGACATATTATCAGGAGGGTCCAGTCCTTGTAAAAGGACATCGTGCTTGGTAAAGTGGAGGGTCAGTGAAAAAGAAGAAGACTCCCAATGAGATGGACTAGCACAGTGGCAGCAGCAGTGGGTTTAGGCGTGGCAAGGATGGTGAGAGCAGTTTTACAGTCTGTTGTGCATCAGGATGCTATGAGTCAGTACCAACTTGACGGCACCTAACAACAAAAACAATAGCCCTTAAGGTTGATGCTATGTGACCAGAGGTAACGGACAACAACTCTGATCCTTGGTTTTCTGATCTGCTAGAGGTTCACAGGAATACACAAGGGGCCGGGGTGAGGCAGGGGCTCCATGAATGGCAATTGCTGGTGCTTGTGAAGTAAACTCCTGTTCAGGAACTGGCCAGGCTCTTCCCAGGGAGAGTTGCCTTCTGTGCACCTCATGTGCAGCCACCAGAGTCAGTCAGTGGAGGCTTGTGTGTTGCTATGATGCTAAGCAGGTTTCAGCAGACCATCCAGACTAAGAGAGACTAGGAAGAAAGGCCTGGAGGTCTGCTTCTGAAAAATCAGCCAATGACACCTTATGGATCACAGTGTTCCCAACCACAATGCATCATGGGACTGGTGCAGGACAGAGCTGCATTTCCTCCCACCACTCTTGGGGTCATCAAGTGTCAAGCCGATTGGTAGAGAGCTGACAACAACAGAACTGCAGGGTGCAGGTGGTGAGGTAGCCAAGGCTCAGAGACGTTAAACACTTGGCCCAAATCATGTGGCCATGTGAGCAGATCAAGATTTGAACACATCCTAAAACCAGATTCATTTGTCTTCCTTTGGATTGATTCTAAAATGCAGATTTAAAAATGTAATTCATTTGAGGCTACTCAGACATAGTAGCCGTCAGAGTTAGAGTAGGTGGGCTGACAAGGTGCGAACTCCATCACTGGAGGGGAAAAAGCAGCAGAGCCATGCCTCTGGTCCCCAGTGACCCCAAGCGCCTTCTCTGCCCCCCAGGTTGGGACCAGGCATCCTCTCTCCCCTAGTCAGCCCACTGAAGGGGCTCGGGCCACCTCCACTGCCACCAGCCTCCCAGAGCCACTCACCAGGAGGCCAGTCTTTCTCCTCGCTCCCCAGCAAGCCGCCCTACCCACCTTTCCAGACCCCCCCGCCTGCACCTCTGCCCAGCCCGCAAGGTAAGCTCTGCCAACAGCCTCTCTTAAACATTCGCCTCTCACTCAGGCACGGGGAGAAATTATGGCCACCTGAGGCTGACTGGTCATGCTCAGAGAATGACAGTGTGAATGTGAGGACCACAGCTATGTCTTGGGGAAGTTCGTCAGAGGACTAGAGGGGACAGCACCAATAATGGCAGGACGGGGACAACAAGCAGTTGGTTTGGTCTGGAAGAGGGTGGTCTGTGGCCCCTAGGTCCTTCCTCAGAGCCTAGACATCAACCCTAAATGACCAGTCAGATACAGCTATATGAGACCATCCCAACCAGCACCTCTAGTGGGCTAAATGAGGCTGCAGGGCAGAGCTGGGAATGGGGCCCAACTCCTAGTACCTTTCCGTCCCTGGGGCTCCCCTCTGCCGCACCACGATGCAGAACAGGACACTTGGGGACACAGACAGAGCCTCAGGGACACTCCCCTCCCTGCCCTGGGCATCTTCCCATGGTGACTGCATCCCCGCTTCTCTCCGCAGGGTACCAAGGCAGTTTCCACTCTATCCAGAGTTGCTTCTCCTATGGTGACTGCTACCGGACTGCCGAACCAGGAGCCAGTGGGGGTGGACTGGCCGGGGAGGCCCACAGTTTCAACCCCCTGAGGCCCAATGGCTACCACAGCCTCAGTGCACCTTTACCTGCCACAGGTAAGCCCCGGCCTGCCTCCCTTCCCAAAGCCCAGGTGCTTTCTGTCCATTGTCCCGAATCCTGTTGACAGCCCTACAGTGGTAGAAGGGGGATGTCATGCCCACTTTACAGACAGGAAAACAGAGGCTCAGAGAAGCCCCAGGACCCCAGGGAACCAGAATTTGCACCGGGGCTGGATACCAGGTTAGTGTTCTGCCATCTCACATGACCTAAAATGTCTGCATTCTGGGGCTCCTGAACACATGAGGAACCGGCCTCAGTCTCAATTTGAGGTAAAGGTTGTACCAGACCAAGTTGTAGACCCTGGAAAACAGTGGGAGGTGAGGCAAATACTCAGCTCCAATGACCAGATAAGGACTCTTAGGTCCAGAGACACCCCACTTCCAGGAAGGGGCCTAGGCTGGAGCTGTGTATGGCTGGGACAGGGAACTTCGGCCCATGGGGAATGCTCCCCACAGCAAGTTCCACTTCAAATCAGCCTCAGGGCCAACAAAGGGCCACAAGCCTGGGCAGGATGAGACTCCCTTGGACAGCTCTGAGTGTGAGCAGCTGGGGGGTCTCACTGAGGCCCCAGACGAGCACACCCAACTGTGGGTACATCTGTATGGAGGTGCACTGGGACTGCGTGTGTTCATGTTGGCACGTGCTTCTGTGTCTGCTCTGTTTTCGTGTGGGGGGAGGGGTCAGCATGGATAGGGCCTGGGTAGTGTGAGTCCACACGTGTGTGTACCTGCACATGTGTAGCATTCTGCATGCATACTATGTCGTGGCTGTGTGCACAGACGTGTGTGTCCCTTAGCACATGTGCGTCCAGACATCAGTGCACACTTGGCCTGATCACCGTGTAGGCAGGTATCATCTGCACGGCCACATGGTCTGTGTCAGTGTGGATGTGTTCCATGTAGGGGCACATATGGACCAGTCAGTACCAACAAAATTAGACCCCAACCACCATGCCCTCTCGTATCCCAAGCTGGATTTCCCAACGTAGCAGGAAGTCCTCAAACCATAGCTCAGAAGGAGGGACAAATGGCAGGGTCCTGTTGTAGCCCCAGGCTTCCTTTTGGCCTCCCTTCTACTCTGCTGTCCAAGTGACAACCAGCATCCAGCTGCTCAGCAAGCTGGCTTAGCCACCATGCCACCAGCTGCCCACAGCCCCTTTCCTCAGCCAAAAGAGTCACAGGATTGAATCCAAATTGACAAGGTGCTGGGGCCATGGGAACTCAGGAACAGTTGAGCCCAAACCCATTGTTCAGATAGGAAGACGGAGGCCCACCTGCCTTGTTGTTATTGTTGCTGTTAAGGGCCATCTAGTTGGTTCCGACCAATAGCGACCCTGTATAGGGTTTCCGAGGAGCAGCTGGTGAGCTTGAACTGCCAACCTTGCAGTTCAAATGGCTTTGCAGTCTGGTGCATTAACCCACAGCGCCACATCAGGACTCCCCCACCTGCCTTAAACCATACAACTTTATGAGAGCAAACCAGAAACAGGGCTCTTAAAGCAGGGCACGGGAAAGATGACCTAACTGTAGGGTCTCTGAGCAGTGACCCCACCTCAGAGACAGCATGTACAGTGGATGAGCCAGGTATCTCCAGAGCTAGGTGGATATGGGTTCAAGTCCCACCTGCCCCGGTTGCTAGCAGTGTGACCTTAAGCAAGTGTCTTGCCCATCTCCTCATCCATAAGATGGGATAATGAACCCACTTCACAGAGCTGCTGTGAGACCTCAGTGAAATAGCGACTTAGATACTAAGTACATGCTCAGTAAATGTGAGTTTTCTTCTCCGGGTTTCTTGTGTTACGGGTTAGGAGGAACCTATGGCAGCAGAGCTATGATAGGCCCACCCACACCCTCCCCTCAGTTCCCCACATGCTGCCCCCACAGACCTGGGATGGCCCCTCAAACCAGCACATACCTGTCTCCCAGCTTCCGTGGACCCTCCTAAAAGTGTTAGGTCTAGGGCTCTATCTTGCAAGCCTCCTTGGCTCTCCTCCCCATTCCCTCTCTGTAAGTGCCTAGGCAGGCAGGTCCACTGAGGGCTCCCAGAGAAGACAGGCAGGTAGGGTGGCTCCTCCTTCCAGCCCCAACCCCTCCCACCCACCCACAGGCTATGAGGCCCTGGCCGAGGCTACGTGCCCCACAGTACTGCCGCCGCAACCGCCTGAAGACGTGGTGCCCAGCGGCCCTGAGGACTGTGGCTTCTTCCCCAATGGGGCCTTTGACCACTGCCTGAGTCACATCCCCTCCATCTACACAGACACCTGAAGGGAGCCCCCACCGCACCTGCCCACCCTCCGTCACAGGTGCCGCACGGCCCACTTGCCGGCCCTGCCCTCCCCGTGTGTTGCCCAGCACCTTGAGGCCGCCCACCAGCGTCGTCTTCCTGCCACGTGAGCGGGCCCCTGGCCAGCCAGGCACTCAGAGGGGCCATCAGGATCCGTGTCCCTTGTGATCTTTTAGGTTGTGCCTTTGTTGTTCCCACTCTGGTTTTGAAATCACAGACCTCGTGTATATAAAATGTACAGAACCTGTTCCCGGTTCCCCTGCCAGTTTTGTATTTTTGGTTTTACAAGAAAAACATTAAAAACTGGAAATGAGACAGGAATCTGGTTCTGCCTGCCACATGATTCAGCCTAGAGGACCTGGGACTCACGGAAACCAGCTCAGGCCCTGACTTTGGATGTGGAGTCAGGGAAGCAGCACTCCTTGGTCCCCATGACAGAACTAGCACCAGTCCTTAAGGACAACAAGTCCTTAGGACAATAAGGCGAAGTAGGTTTGGCCCCGTGGACCGATGAGCACACGGAGGCTGGGAGGGGTTAAGTGACTTACTTCAGTTCCCACCAAAACCTAAAGCCAAACCTCTACTCTGCACTAACTTCACGGGCTTTGGGTGAATAAGGAGTGTGGTGGCAAGGCAGGACAGGCCTCCCAACTTGCGGCAACCCCATATGTTACAGTGTAGGACAATGCTCCGTACCGTTTCCAAGGATGTGACCTTTCAGACGTGGATTACCAGGCTTTTCTTTCGCGGTACCTTGCAGTCAATTCAAATGGCCCACCTTTCAGTTAGAAGTCGAGCACTTAGACTGAGGGACCTGGGCTGAGTCCCAAGGTGACACAAACAGCTAACGGAAACAGGATCGCTGATCCCTGTGCCCCAGACCTCTGCTGGCACACTGACTTCACAGGTGGTGGAAGAGAAGCTACAAGCCTGACCCTAGCTGAGGCCTGGGCAGCTGGTGAACAGGGAATGGGCTGGGAATGTGGGGCTGGCCTTCCAGGGCTGGAGCCTGAGGGGGCTCCAGATGGTGAGGTCTCTGCAAATTGGCTGCGACATGAGAGCCCCACCCCACCCTGAGTGGCCAGAGACCTAGAGGAAGCTTCCCAGGGCACTACAGTTCACACAGTCCTGCCTCCATACCCTACCCATGTTCATCTCCAGTAACAAGCACAAGCAATGCCCACTGGCCAGACCTGTGTCCTGGGTCTGCACCCAGTGTCCTGAGTCTCCCCAACCTCATATGAAGGACCCTGAGGAAATCTCTGCCTTATTGCTGCTGAAGGGAATGAAAATGAAGGAGGTTTTGTTAACTTGTCATATGCTAGGCCCCCTACCTGAGGTCCCCAGGTCACACCCCTACTGTGAGGGGAACAGCCAGGATTCAAACCCAGGTCCAAAGGACCCCTCTGTCTACACAGCTAGACTAGGTAGGCATAGTGAGCCACAGCCATAGATAGATTTATAAAGAGGGAGACTGAGGCTCAGAGAGGCAACCCAGCCGAGTAGGGAAAGAACAAGGACTTGAACCCATGATGCTTGCTGTACCTATAACCTCACCCCAGTCTGTGCCTCAGGATGACCTGTGTGGTCTGTGTCCCCTACAGCTCCTGACTGCCCCCCAGCATGTGATCTTCGCAGGTGGGTAGAGTCCCTCCACTGAAGGCCTTGGCTGTGGTCAAGCTGCCCTCTCTACCCAGTCCACTCTCTCTAGGATCCTGAAGCAGCTCCCTCCCTGCTTCAGGAACAGGGGTTCCGCTATCTCTGAAGTTGGGGTGTTTGCCTTACAACCTGACCACACCTTTGTAAGACCATCCCTTCATTAAAACCGATTGGTCCGAATTGATTCTAACTCCTGGTAACCTCCTATGTGTCATAGTAGAGCTGCACTCCATAGTTTCCAATGACTGACTTTTCTAAAGATGATTGCTGACCCTGTCTTCCAAAGCAGCTGAGGATGAACTCGAACCTCCAACCTTTCTGTTGGCAGCCAAGCATATTGACCACCAAGGGACTTCCAGTTCTTGTCTTGAGCCCTCCTCAAAATCAAATCCCAATGTCACCGAGTGGATCCGGCTCACAGTGACCCTATAGAACATAGTAGAGCTGCTGCTTCATAGGGTTGCCAAGGTCGTAAATCTTCATGGAAGCACTCTGCTATATCTTACTCCCGAGAAATGACCGGCAACTTCGACTTTTTGGTTAATAGCTCAGTGCTTAACCGCTGTACCACCAGGGCTCCTAAACCCTCCTCAGTTGCCCCAGTTTGAGAGGACAGTTTGTTTCTGCCCAATTGTCATGGGTAGGATCACTTGTCCCCATTATATGTACAGAAACTGAGGACAGTAGGTGACATGAAGTCACTTGCCCAGGTTTCAAAGTCAGTGAGGACAGTTGGGGCTCAGGCTTCTGGCTGCAGACCCCCTGCTCTCACCCGCTTTCCTGCTGCCTGCAATCTCAGGGATCACATGCCTGGGTACCTGCTCCTGTCCTAGCCCTGGCCTCCCAGAACTGGCCCAGTGCAAGCCCAGGGTGGGGAGCAACTGGCACAGGGTCACGTAGCATGTTAGAGTGTGGGATGAGGACCTGGGGTTCTTGACTCCCACCCAGGGTCCCCTCGGAACCCCCTTGCATCCCCCGTTGATTTTAAGGAAATAATTAGTTCGTGGTGAGATTCCTTTAACAGGGATGCTCAAGACTCAATACTGCATGTCATTGTAAGCTCTTAATCCATTCCAGATAAGCAGAATTAAGCTGTACAATGAGGACATATTTCTATTAATAATGAAAAAGGCTGGGGCCATGAGCATGGGAACACACAGGGAGCTGGCAGTTGGATCCCATTTAATTTCAGAGCGTCAGAGAGAGGGAGAGAAAGAGACAAAGGGAATGAGAAACAAAGAGGCAGCCAAAGAGCCAAGGCAGACGGAGGAGTGAGCAGAGATGAAGGCAGACCCTAAGCCAGGCACACAGTACAGCTCAGTGAATTGTACCTTTCATCCCTCTCCTGCTGGGGGCTTCCAACTCCCTCTGAGCCCTGCTCCTCATCTTGGCACACTCAGGGGACCCTCCCACTCAACTCCTACAGCTTATTTCTTCGTCTCGGAAACTAGCAAGTCCCTGGATGATGCGTAAGTCCCTTTGCCTTTCATTTAGAAATAAGATGTGCAGCCTCACTGCTGAGCTCTCACCTCACATTATAGGTACAAGAACTCTGTATCTATACAAGGGCACGGCATTATAGGAGTACTCTGACCACTCCCCCTAATTGTCACATAGGAAGAACTAGAGGGTTAGTGTCAGCGGGACAGGGCCACACCACATCGGGCTGTGGAAGGTCTATAAGGTTATTGAAGCTGAGTTACCCCCAGGAACCCACAAGGCCTGTCAGGTGACCACTAGCTGCCCTTTTGCCCAACTAGGCTGATGGCAGCATCCCCAACCTCGCTGTGGTCCAGGCTGGGACTGTCAAGGAATCTTGTCTTGTGTTCTCTTCCCATCTCCCTCTGCCTGTACTGCCTGCCTTCGCTGCCCGCCTCCCACCCTCACCCCATCTCTGTTCCTCCCTCTCCCCCTCCCAGCCCTCTCCTCCTTTTCTTCACTCCTACTAGTTCTTGGCTTTTATCTTTCTCTCTTCTTCCACCGTTTTTCTTTCTTGCTCCAACAGTGTATGTGAAAATCCTCTGTAAGTTGCAAGGTATCACCTGATGGAAGGACATCTTTCTCCTGCCACCCTTGGCCCCCTCCTTCCTTGACTCCCTTTTGCTCACTCTGTGACCCAGAGACCTCAGTGACTTACCTAAGGCATTGGTGACTGAGGGTGGGGGTCAGAAAGAGGGTGATTCAGAGAGGAGTCCTAGTGGGGCCCCTCCTCAGCCATGGGCCAGGAGTGTCTGACATAAAGTCATGCATTAGGACCCCTCCTTCTGCACCTCACTGCCAGGCCCAGTGTTTCCTTAATGATGGCCTCAAGGGTTCCTCGGGCCTGGCCCTCCAGAGACTCCCAATCTCCCCATTCTCTGTTTCCGCTGACCTTTAGGGGCTCCGTGAGTTACCATGGAACCCAGACCATTAGGGCAGAGAGAGCCACTAACCTCACCCCCATCCCCACCCCACTCACTCACCCACTCACAGACATGGAAACCCAGACCCAGAGAGATTCTATTCCTGGGACCCCTCCTGGCCCCTACCCACACACCACTACTACCCACTCTTACTGGGGAGGGTGAATTGGGAGTGACACTCAAGATTTAAGGCTTAGGGCGCCCCATGCTGCTGTGTAAGGAGGGGACTGTTGAGGTCAGGCACCTATCTGTCCTACTCAGTGCTAACTGCCCACCTCCTGAAACAGTGCCAGGCATACAGTAGGTGCTCAATAACTGTTTGATCACTAAATAAATGGAGCAGGAAAAACTAGAGCAAGGAAACAAAGTCCTACGTCCACAGAACTTTGTGTAATAAATATTTGTGAACTCAGCCATCCTGTCCAACTGTAAGTTACAGAGCAGGTCAGTTACAGGAGGGTGAAGAACCCAGACCTGCTGCCCTCTACTCCTTTTCGACCCCATTAATTACATCCTTTCAGTCAGCCCAATAACTTCATGGATCCCACAGGCTCCTGAAGAATGTTTGCACCATTGTTACAACACTCCACAAGGTAAGTGTTATTACCCCATTTTCTAGTATCAAGATAGAAGGACCTCAAGCTCAGGTCTCCAGCGTGGGTGCCTACTTCCTACCCACTGTGGCTCCACTCCAAGGCTTGGGTCCTAGGGAGTGAATGGTCTGAGGATTCCTGGCACATAGCACTCTTACTCATCCAGAGGGGAACACTACACTTTTACAAGCCCCGATTTATATACTTGCCTGGGCCCTCAACTCTGCCAGGGATTTATAGGTTTCTAAGTGGTCACATCACTGGAGGAGGTGCAACCAGAACAAGAACATGAAGGACCGTCGGCCCCTGTCAGCTCCGGACTCCAAAGCACAGACCTTCCATCAATTCCTGGGGCCCTGGATCTGGGCTGCAGAAAGGGCATCGAGAGACAAATGAGGAA